CCTTACTATATATATATATATATATATATATATATGAGAGTATTTACCATTTTTACAAGGAGGTGGTGATCACTCCTAGCATTTAGATGTTCAATTGGATGGATTGGGTGTGGCATGAAGTTCGAGAAATTATTTTTTGAACTTTGGGTCTAGTCAATGACACTTGTAACTGCACGATTTAAAATCTGATGGACAAAAGTTATTGTGACCTCCTTATACACGCAGTACATGGTCTCTTCATGTAGTTTTGCATACATGTATATATATGTGTGTGTGTGTCTTCAAATAATCAATACATTAACCTCAAACACTACTACATTAGCAGTTTGGAATTACTAGTGGAGTATAAACTTACAAAACATATTACTTGACCGCTTTGGCATCCATGACTAGATATTTGAGTATTTAGATAAACAATTGTTTCTCTTAGGTTTTCATTATCCACATATAGAAACCTGTAGTTGTCCTTTGAATAGAATAGGGAACAAATCCATGAAGGTCATATGTTCTAAGAAAGGAAGTGCATAGTCAAGCAAAGATTATAATTTTAAACTTACCTCTGGTGGTTTGACCCACATTTGTCCGTCGTACCATCCACTTTCTTCATAGGGAATTACTGCAGACAATAGCCTATCGCCAACATAACTCCAACCCTAACAGAAAACAAGAGATACTGCATCAATGGTTACCCTGGTGCAGTTTAATAAAGATCTGAGCAGCAAAGTAGTTCACTAAGGCATCCCGGAACTACATGTGTCTTGAAAATCTGTTGTGTGGGAACTTATTTTTGTTGAAATTAATATTCTGAAACAACATGAGTGAAATATAGCATTGATGGTTGATCTCCCAAAGGGAAATCTCTTTTCAAGAGCTTAAAAATTATTTTCCGAACCTTCTTTGGATTATGAGAGAGTCTACTGTTGAATCAGTTCCTGACAAAGTTAAGCATGCAGCGTGTTTTTCAATATAATATGGTCATGTCAGTTAGTTGTTGCAAACTATTCCATACTGTCCTAGTGAATGTGTTTATAATGCAAAAGGAAGAAACTTATTCACATAAAAATAAAACTATCATAAAATGACCAAAACAATACGATAAATTGAGCCTTCAAGGGGTACACTTTACAAGAACCTCCTTGTTTGTTTTTTCTCTCTTTTTTGGGCTGGGGGGGTGGGGGGGGTTCCAGCATTTTCCACAAAAGTAATGGATTTCATGATAGCATTAGGTCATTAACACTTGTAAAACATCAAATAATATGTTAGTTCTTCTTAATAGAACACATGGATGCAATCAATCAAATTGTCTCAAGGCAGTTGCAATTGGTTAAGTTCAAAGAAGACCAAAATCGAGTTGTCCATGCTAACAGACTTATATCATTTATTGGGAAACTAATTTGGATGGCTACACTTTTGACTTCTGATTCATTAGGGGGATTTGGTATTTTTTCTTGAAATATTTTAAGTGCATAGGGAGATTTTGAGGTTGGGCCTAGCCTATAGTTACTATCAATGTAAATCCCACTACATGGAGGAAAACTCCTATTCTAGATTCTGCTATTGTCAGAAAACCAACCAAAATCTGTAGAAGAATGCCAGAGGGCTCAAGCACCATAACAGCTTGATTCTCAATAAAACTGCAGAGAAGAACATATATGACAAGGACGTGAACAGAAAATAACATCCATCTCATCATAAAGAAGCCAAAGGAAGTCCAAGCTGGTTCCATCTGGCTAGCCAACCTCTGCATATGCTTTTTCACAATAGCTGTTCTATCTATTTCCTAATAGGAGCTTGAGAATCCTAGCTTTTATTGAAACAAACTCCACGCTATGGTCCAGCCCATAGTTGCTGGGATCTCCCAACATTTCTTTTGTGTGTGTAAAGGGGGAGTTGCTCTAGCACTCTAAGAAAGGGATCTTGATTTTGAAATTTTGGGGTCTCGGTACCCTCTGCTAGGAACCCCGATTCATATTGTTAGGGATCTTTTCTCAAACCTAAGTATCAAGAGAACAACCAAACTGATGATTTTTTAAGCTAACAAGCAGCATAAACATAGTTTTAAAATAGTTACATTGTTTGTTGGTCATGAATAAAGCGATCCCTACTTTAACGAGGTTATATAGTCCTAAACTGTATATACTCTTTAAGGTTAGGAGCAATCTCCTCAGAAGGTTGTGTTCAAGATCGCCAAAAGTTTTGAATATCGATCCATAACATTTGGGGATCTACATGCCTAACAAATGCAATTCATGGACCATACTCTTAACCATAAAGTCTTCTAGCATTTCACAATCCCGTTTTCCTGATCCCAATCCTGCTCTAGGTCCTGCTTCCGACCCCATTAACTATGATCCAGTCATAAATTTGATCATTTTCGCGATACTTGACACTGTCCTAGCAGAGATAATTATGGAAAATTGCCAGCCAGCCAATCATCTGAGGAACCAATACTGCACCTCCACCTCTTCTGCAGACACACTGATTTGAGCTAGACATGCTTTTCATGTACAAATTAATAACAAACTGCAGTTTTCCATACAGTATTCCTGGTTCGGGTTGTATATCACAGAACTCATCCCCCAGTTACCCAAAACCACACTTAACTCAGACACTCTCATGTTCACTAAGAGGATTCTAGCCATTTCTTCACTCCACATGAACCTGTTTCCAACTTTTTCAAACGCTTAATCAAGGGAATCCAGATGCACAAGAGAGAGTATAGAAGCAGAGTGGCTGGCATGCATGACCTCAAGGGCTCATCCATCGAAATGCATAAACTATCTTCCAAGAGGCAAAAGTTTGACAAAATGTTCTGCAAAGATGCTTTGATGTTCAGCCAATCCATAAGGTCAGCCTCAAATATAACATCAAAATATAGGTACATATCCAATATACTCAAGGTCTCTCTCATCCAATATGCACCCAAATTCAGGTGATGTGGCTCTTTTTGTGATTCATCCTATGGCTACCCATTCCTGAGGACTTGTCAAGGCGGTGCTTGTGGAGATTGAAGATGCAATCCTCTCATAAGATTCACATTTACAACTGTTCATATATTTGCTGCTTCAGTTTAAATTGATGCAATGAAAATACTCACCATATGTGTTAGAAACTTCAAGCTATGACTTCTACTTTCCGTAGTAACATCAGATGCAACAGTGTGCAACCTCATCCACTTATTGCAAATTCTTCTGCGACCCAATAGCCATATTCACTTAGATTAAAACTCAATAACAACTGAAAAGGATTGACTGGAAATGAACTTTGATGTTTAGAATATCTCGTCATTAAATTTGATATCACATCTGTTAAAATATTGTCTTTTCAAAATTGAATATCAAAATTATGATAGTCAAGTTTTTAAACAAATTGTTAATTACACGGGCCTTCTTGATGATACTCATGAAAAAGCGGATACCAAATATATACGTAGAACAACGAGCGAAACTAGAAAAAGAGTTCCAGTTCCAGCAGCAAGCACAAACTTCAGAGGCTCCTGAAATGTTGAAGAGAAGCAATTCGTCAGTCATGCCATCAGAGTTTAAACAAGTGCATTTTTCTCACAAAAAAAATGTATGTGTTGTAGTGTCAATAATCATCTTGATTCTCCAAATTTCATGCACAAAAGGTAACGTAAATTTCTATGATACATATGGTACATCACAGTTTGTATTGCCCAACATATATGAAATATCTGCATCTTTTCCGGTTCATATGCTGCACTTGAAAGGAGAACTAAGTTCCATCACCAACTACAACAACGTGTAAGGTCATAACTTAACATGGAGTAAGCTTTACATTTTCACTATACAATTTCTACGTTTATAAAGATCAAACATCGACCCAGATGGCAACTTAAATTTTAATCTGCCATGCACATTTGGGTTACAACAAGATGATCTCAGATTGATACACATGCATGAAACTCACACTAATAAAAACTTATAAGCCTTTCCGATACATATTAACTGCATATTACTCAAGATGCACCTTAAGCATCATGACTTAAAAAGAGCCTTACAGATATTTCCAACCAAAATTTTGGAGGGAGTCTATATTTTACAACTTTCCCTCGACGCTACCCGATTCAAATTCTTGGGGCATATTGAGCAAAATGCCGCTAGCACACCCCTCTATTATGACCCTATTAGTTTTGGAGGTATTTTTTTAGGGAAAGTATCACTAAACTGGTCAAATCAACTGAAAAATTATTGAAGTGGTCAACTATTATGAATTTAGTATTATGCAGGTTACTTTATCCAATTCCTTTGACCCAAGTACCTCCACAAAAATTGTTTAAACATTGCCCAAATTGTGCTTGTTTCAATAGAGACCTTTGAGCAAGTAGGGGCATTTTAGTAATTTTTCAACCTTGGACATAGAGGGGTAATAAAGAAAGAAATTACGATTTGAACACTAGTTTTATGTCGTTTATATTCTAACATTATGTTATTTGAATCTCTCTCTCTCTCTCTATATATATATATATATATGGAAGATGTTGAGAATAGCCCATTAACTCATATCAACATATGAGTTCATATTCATATGAGCTCAATGGCCCAGATTGAATCTAGGCTGATCTGACGGTCACGATTTCATTTCGTATTTTAATTTTAATTTTTTTTTACAAATCCAAATAACTTGAAATTTTAGGTGTGTGTTCTTCAAAAATAGGATAATCTAATAAAAATATCAAAAAAATAATTTACAAGAAATAAATTGACCAAAATAATTTACTTATTACGAATTATTTTTAAAATATTGTTATTTTTAAAAATATTTTTATTTTATTTTTAAATAGAATGTAGTATTTCAAATGCACATAAAAAATCCATCGGAAGAAGTGTTTTAATATTGAAAAACCTTCTAATCGATCATCTCGATATCGAGATATAAGAACATGAAAAAAAATAAGATTTTGAGTGCAAGAAATAGTGCATCTTTCAACACATTATCAAGACCGTCCATTTTCAATATTTTCATGTGTTTATAGATTTGCTTGATTTTAACTACTTTTAGAGTTTAAAATTTTATAATTGAATATGAAAATAGATTTTGATATAATCCTAAGAATTTTTTACATCAAAATTACATATTATGATAATATTTAGCGGTGCGCCTTAATTGGATAGTTTAAGGTTGCAACCTTATAGAAACCACACCCTTCAAATAATGGGAAATAGGGTTAGGGCATCAATGGTTAGGGGCAGATGCCTCAACATAACGTCCCACCCTCCATTCCCACCGTTAACATATATTTTTAGGTGCATCTGTAATTCTACATTTTAAGGTTGCAAACTTATATAAACTTTTTCCTTATTTAAACTGTGACTTGAAGACTAAAATATGGAATAATCTTCAACTAGAAATGATGTAGAGAAAGAAAAAATTAATTTTTTATTATTATTAGAATTTTTGAGTTTATCTTTAACTTAATAATAAGAGGTGCGTAGGGATAATTAGGTAGAAGTTTATTTTGTACGTGAATGAATTGATATTTATCAATTGGGTGGTTAGTTTAAGAGTATAAATAGGATAAGGTTAAATCTAAGGGGTTTATCTTTTCAACAATAGCTTTGGGTAAAACGTGAGGGTTTATCTTTGCAACAATAGCTTTGGGTAAAACGTGAGGGTTTATCTTTGCAACAATAGCTTTGGGTAAAACATGAGGGTTTATCTTTGCAACAATAGCTTTGGGTAAAACGTGGGTGGCACGTGAATTTAAGAGAGAGACGATAGCGATAAGAGAAAATAAGTTAAGGGAGATAAAATAGGAAAATCAGTTGTTTATCTTCTTTTCTTTTTTTTAATATATTTAAAGGGACGTTTCCCTTCATTGTAAAGAGGTGAATAAGTTAATAAAATTTAGTCTCGTGAAGATATTATTTTTGGGGTGGATTCTCTTGCAGACCTTGAGAGAGGGTATATTCTCTTATTCTCGTGAAGAGATTATTTTTGGAGTGGATTCCCTTGCAGACTTTGAGAGAGGGTATATTCTCTCAACCTTTTATTTTTATTTTTCTAGTGTTATTTTCTCCCTGCATCTCTCTGCATCAATTGGTATCAGAGTAAGTTAGATCCAGAGAGAAAGTTAGGTCCAGAGTTTACAATGCCACCAAAAGCGTCCAGAGTTTACAATGTCGCTAGTCAAGCTGATCCTACTCCGGCTATGGATGATCGTTAGGGATAAATTTTGACTAAAGCCCTAGCGGATTTTCGAACTGAAATACGTGAGATGAATCAAAAGATACAACGCCTAGAGGATTTTCGAACTGAAATACGGGAGATGAATCAAGACATGAATCGGAGGATGCAACGGTTGGATCAGAGGTTTCAACGGTTGGAGAACAATTTCATCATGAAGAAGGTGCTCGCAGCCACATTCATCCTGCACCAGTTCATAGCCACATTCATCTTGCACCAGTATTTCCACGACGAACCCAATGTGTAGATTTCGAGCATAACGAAAAAATTTACAGGCCAGATTCGCATCCTATAAAGCAACCACGAGATTTTAGTATTAAACTCGATCTCCCAAAATTTCATGGTCAAGGGTATTCATCAATTGAATATAGTGCTTCTTTGGCAATGGATCCATTCCTAGTTCGTAATAATCAGCCCAAGCTCCTATTCAACAATTACTCCTGGGACACAGTTGCAGGCAAAGAGTCTTACATTAGTCTTGAAGACATTGAAGAAGAAATTAGCCTTGAAGAAATTGAAGGAAAGGTGTCGAGACGCAGGGTCGGATTACATCACCAACAGTGTTTTAAAATGCGGCCGCATCGTCGCGGGATGCACTTGCATCATCTGCATTGCAAATTGGCGCATATGCGCTTTTGATAGATGCGGCCGCATATGCGCTGCATCAGGCCGCATCCCGCATCATGGCCGCATCACCCGTATCATGTGGCATCTGTTTTTTGCTGAAAAATTATCGATTTTGCCCCTCTGGGTGGGGCAAAATGGTCTTTTTGAACTTTCAAAGTTTAGGGAAACTGTTTGGGGGGTTATTATACCCCCTAAACGAAGATTTTCAGCGACTTTTGTGGCTTTTTTGCATCAAATCTAGGAAAAAAAAAATTTGGCAAAATTTTTTTTTTCATCCAAATTTTCGATTTGGCGGTTGTTTGATACTTGGATGTTCATTTGATGCCTTTGATTGTTGATTTGGGGATATTAAGAATTTGTGATAAGAAATTGGGGATTTCAGACGCCGTGAAGAAATCGAGCACTACTTCACAAAGTCGGTAACTTTTTATTCCTTCGTGTACAATGATATTGTTATACTTATTTTTGGGGCAATGTCTTCTTCCCAATCTTCTAGTAACAAGGATCCGGCTTGGAAATATGCTAAACTAAAAAATCTGAAAGATAGAAATTGGGTGATATGCTTGCTCTGTGGAAATACTTATATGGGTGGTATTTTTCGACAAAAAGAGCATTTCGCCAAAATTTTTGATAATGTAAGAGCATGCCCACAAGCTACAGATGATATAAAAAGGGAGATTAGAGAATATTTGGATAGTTTGAAAAAAGATAAAGAGAAAAAAGAAAAGAAAAGAAAGGAATTACTTGATGATATACAATTATTTGATGATGCTGATGATGATGATATGTCTGAAGTTGCCATGAGGCAAAGGGGTACTCATACTCCAACCTCAAGAGAGAGGGTTATAAATATTGGTGGTAGTGCTGAGAGAAGAATACCTCTCTCTAAGGGGCCAATAGATTCTTTTTTCACCCCTAGCCCCGAAATTGTAATTCAGGAGAGAAAGAAAAAAACAAAACAAACCACAATTGAAATAAATATAAGAAAGAACAAAGGAAGTCGGTATGTAAGTGGATTGCAAAGTGGATTTACATGGCCGACATTCTTTTTAATACTATAACTCTAGATAGTTTTGCATGTATGGTCCAGGCAATTGGGCAATATGGCCCAGGACTTATTCCTCCTTCACTACATGAGGTTAGGGAGCCCTTGTTGAAGGATGTTGTATTTGATGTGAATAAAATTTTGATTTCTTAGAGAGAAGGGTGGGAGAAATATGGGGCCACTATTATGTGTGATGGTTGGTTCGATGAGAAATCAAGGGCATTCATTAATTTTTTGATTAATTGCCCAACAGGTACTTTTTTTGTTAAGTCTATTGATGCATCAGACAAGTCACATGATGGTACATACTTATGTGGCTTGATGGATGAGATTGTCGATTTTGTTGGGGAGCAAAATGTGGTACAAATTATCACTGACAATGGTGCCAACTATGTTGCAGCTGTGCATTTCTTGACTTTGACAAGGAAGCATATGTTTTAGACTCCTTGCACAGCTCACTATGTTAATCTTATGCTTAAAGAAATGGGTACAACATCTTTATTTTGTGGGGTGATTTCAAGAGTTATGTTTGTTGTTGGATTTATTTATAATCACTCCATAGTTCTAAGCATAATGAGGCCTTTTACAAAGAAGAGAGAATTAGTGAGATCGAGTATCACTAGATTTGTCACGTCATTTCTCACTCTTCCAAGCCTAACCAAGCAAAAAAGTGCCTTGAGGACCATGTTTGCTTTAAAGCAATGGAGTCTGAGGAAATGGTCAAAGCATAAGGATGGGAGAAAGGCTGAAAAAATTATTCTGAATACATCTTTTTGGAGTCAAATAATTCTTGTATTGGAGGTGGCTCGCCCTTTAGTGAGAGTGCTTCGACTCTTTGATGGTGATGCGAAGCCCGCCATGGGCTACATACATGAGGCAATGACTAGGGCAAGAACTAAAATAAAAGACGTTTTAAAGGACGATGAAAATATGCGCAAGGCTATACTTGAAATTATTGATAGGAGATGGGATACCCAGCTTCCCAAGCCTCTCCATTCAGCCAGTTATTTTCTAAACCCATCTCTTCACTACAAGCACCCATCCATTGAGTTAGATCGTGTAATAAATGGTGTCTTAGATATGCTGGAGAGGTTGGTGCCCAACAAAGATATCCAGGATGAGATCCAGAGCCATGAATTGATTAAGTTCAAGTTAGCCTTGGGAAACTTTGGGAGAGATATTGCCTCTCGAAATAGGGACACTACAGATCCAGGTAAAGGCCAAAAGCCCAAAAATAATCTTACTTGTCTCTTACTTTATGTATAGTTCCATTGTTTATTTTATACCCTTAATTTTTAACTATATTCTAAATTGTAAAATATTATACAGCTGCATGGTGGGCATTATATGGAAGCGAAACACTAAATCTACAACGTCTCGCTATTCGAGTGTTGAATCTTACATGTAGCTCATCTAGTTGTGAGCGCAATTAGAGTACATTTGAGCATGTAAGTCCTTTATTCCTTAATCCTTATTTCTTGAATTTCAACTTTCTAATCTAAAATCTAATTTATCTGATTTCAAATTTTTATCACAGCTCCATACAAAATAAATAAATAGGTTGAAGCAGAAAAAGTTGAATGATTTGGTTTATGTGGGGTATAACGAGCGCTTAGGGAGAGGTATGAAAATCGCACGAAGCTCAACCCTATTCAATTATTTGAAGCTGATGGTGATTCCATAAGTGAGTGAACCGTGGATCCAAGACAAGAGCATGTGTTTTGAAGGTGAGGATCTTATATAGCTTGATGTCGAGCTAGCAACATGGGCTAATGAAGAAGATCGACGTAACACTAGAGCACAAAGGAGTAGAGGAGCTGCTGGGTCTAGTCGCACTCGCACATTAGCTTCAGAGGTCGAGGAGGAAGCTGCATCAGAGGAGACCGATGAAGAAGAATATATGGAGGCCGTCGAGGATGATATTGATGATGTGCATGACGACTCTTAAGATGACTTGTCTGATTGATATTTGAAAAAATGAAGTTCAAATTTTAAAATTGATTCTCAAAATGGATGATTGTATTAAGTTATTAACTATTAACTCTTCTTGAGCTTGACTTTTGATTTGTATTTTGTAATATCATTATTTTGTGCTTATGGTTGTTGATGGTTGTGCTTAATTATAGTTGTGCTTATGGTGCAAATTTGTGCTTATGGTTGTTGATTGTTGAATGTTTTATGAATCTGGTTTCACGTTTTTAGTTTCTATCAGGAGATAATGGATAACTGGATACAGAATCTCCGACAGCTAATAGTTTTGAAGTTAATCATTAAACTAAAATACCTACTATCACATATATCACCTTTATATTTTTTCTATGCATTAACTTATTTTTTTAAATTTTTTTATATTTATTGACCGCATCATTACTATGCACCCGCATCCGCGTCGCATCGGCCCCCTACCGCATCAGAGCCGCATCCCACATTTTAAAACACTGATCACCAATTAGCAGATGGTGATTGACTTCAAGCTCAAGGTCGAGCTTCTCTCAATCCCGAGAGAATGTTGCAAAGAATAAAAATTTAATTTTTTATTATTATTAGGATTTTTGAGTTTATCTTTAACTTAATAATAAGAGCTGCGTAGGGATAATTAGGTGGAAATTTATTTTGTACGTGAATAAATTGATATTTATCAATTGGGTGGTTAGTTTAAGAGTATAAATAGGATAAGGTTAAATATGGTTAGTTTAGGAGTATTAATAGGATAAGGTTAGATCTAAGGGGTTTATCTTTTCAACAATAGCTTTGGGTAAAACGTGGGGTTTATCTTTTCAACAATGGGTAAAACGTGGGTGGCACGTGAATTTAAGAAAGAGAAGGTAGGGATGAGAGAAAATAGGATAAGGGGGAGAAAATAGGAAAGTCAGTTGTTTATCTTCTTTTCTTTTTTTTTAATCTATTTAAAGGGACGTTTCCCTTCATAGTAAAGAGATGAATAAGTTAATAAACTTTAGTCTCGTGAAGAGATTATTTTTAGGGTGGGTTCCCTTGCAGACCTTGAGAGAGAGTATATTCTTTTATTCTCGTGAAGAGATTATTTTTGGGGTGGATTCCCTTGCAGACGTTGAGAGAAGGTATATTCTTTTATTCTCGTGAAGAGATTTTTTTTGGGGTGGATTCCCTTACAGACTTTGAGAGACGGTATATTCTCTCAACTTTTTCTTTCTATTTTTCTGGTGTTATTTCTCCTAGCATCTCTCTACATCAATTGGTATCAGAGCTTGCATCAAGAAATTTGTTGGAATTTGCTTATTGCACATGCAAGTAGTCTATGTGGATGGTTGGATAGAACTACTGGGGCTAGCAATCTGCGTAACTAAATCATTTGTATGTTGAGAAATTGCATTTCTATTTACTCTCATTTGAAAACCGATTTGCTACATTTGATGGACATCTAACTGTTACCCTAACTTAACATACCAATCAGCACTACATAAATGATTATGTCAAGAACAGTGTATAATTTCAGCTACCTTTCTGATTTCTGTTCATAAAACCAAAACATGCAGGGCAGAAGAAGATTTTGAATTGCATTGCTTCAAGGACATGTCATCTTTTCTCTTCAGTAATAAACTCAGTTTAACCATATGCAGGCATCAATGCTCTAAATGAATTAGGAAAACAGCTCCCTAGAAACTTCATATGCATTCATCTGATACGTACCTTAGAGGGTTCAAAACTTGCTGCTGCAATTGGTACTCCAAGAACTGTAAAAGCTCCTAACCACAGGCCCCCAAGACGAAGGAAAAAGGGCAGTGGACTCAGCTCAGCCCAGGAAGATAAGGGCCCATCTTTCAAAGATGAGTACTCATTCACCTAACACAAACACCATCCTCTAAGCATAGCAACTACCTGGGCAAACAGCTGTATATGCATGCAACACATTATTGAGCTAATCTGCATCCAGCCCTAAATTTTCACTAGTTACAAGAATGGTTCAAGCAGACAAACCAAAACCATTTCCCAAAAGAAAACTAATGCAAAAGAAATCTCCAAGATGATAACCAGGTGTGTATAATCCTGGATACCTCGGTATGCAAAAGTAATGGGAATATACGGAAAGGTCCATATTTTCCCAAATATTACAAGCAGGTGAGTCCCTCATGCATGTTTTTTTATTTTTTCCAGCTGGCCCCTCAGTTTGATGTTACCAATGTAAGACCGTTTTAAATTTATTTTTTAATTTTTTTAGAAAATAGGATTGTGATCTATGTTTAGGTCACTTTGGGGCCGGTCGGAAATATCGGACTGCCCCAAAGTTCCAGTCGGTTTGATGTAAGAAATATTGGCCTGGGAAATTAACATAACTTTCAGATTGGTCCGGGAGATTAACACTAAGTTCTAGACTAATCTGATGTCTCCAACATCGAACAGCGCACTGAACAGCCCACTAAAGGGCAGTTCAATATTTCAGACATGACTGGCCACAAAGTGACCTAAAGATGGGTCACAACCCTACTTTCTAAAAAATTTAAAACCAATTCTGAGGGCCAACTAGGAAAAAAAAAGTGGGGGACAGACCTGCGCATAATATTTGGGAGAATACTTTTGACGTAAATATGTCCAAATAATAATGCAAAAGAAATCCCAACTATTGGTAAAGGAGAATACTATTCTAGCTAATGTTGAAGAAACCCATATACCACAAAAAATAACAGCAAAAGGGACCCCATTAATCACAGGCATCTGCAATTGAGCGAGAGAGAGAGAGAGAGCGAACTTTAAAAAATACTCACTGGCCTCTGTTCAAAAGGAACTTCAATTTCCAGCCCAGGGTCCCAATTCTGGCCTGCGAAACCCCTTTCCCTCTCATCATTCACTGCCTTCACATGTTTCCATCCCAACCTTACCAGTCGCCGCACATCAATGAACTCGAAACAACGATCCCGACCCAAATCCCTTTTGTGTCTTCTCAGACCATCTCCTTTCAAAAAGCTAGCGCCTACAGAAGCACATGGTTGTAGGCTGAGCATGTCTTTACATTCAAGAACCCTAATCAATTCCTACGTATTTTGAAAACAACAACTGTGTCAAGGATCACGCAACCCCAAAGCCCTAATCTGAACTCAGATGCCAGAAGCTTGCATCCTTATTCTCTTTAAGAGCGAGAGAATTATCCTCTTTTAGAGAGAGAAGTTATGGTTAATTTAATCTGCATTCAGAGAAAAAATCTTGTTGTAGAGAGAGAAAGAAGAGAGAAGTTTATGGTTGATTTGTGCAGGTGTGGCTGAGAGCAGGGGAGTGTTGCGGCTGTTTGCCAAAGCATGGTGGCATCATGCGTGCCACCTCCCGACACGTGGGAAACGTCCATTGGTTTGGCTTCTTCGTTGGATGTGCTTGCTTCCTTTGTTTGGTGGGACCCACAAACTTGCTCCACGAATCTTAGCCAACAGCCCCAAGATAAGGGGTGGAATTGTACCGCGATACATGTTACGTGGTGCAGGCATCAACTGTCTTTTTTAATGAAGTTTCTTTAAGGCCAAAATCAAATCTCGCCTCATCTCCAAAAGCACTTTTGGCATAAGAAATATGGCTTTAAAATCAATAATTTTCATGAGCGATAATAAAACTAAAAAAATGGTACAGATCTTGTGAACACATCTTTTTAGGGCGAAATGGATGTGGTTCGGATAATTTATTGTAATATACATTATTTTTAAATTTGAAATTCTAATTTTTTTTTCACAACTATAATGATTTAAAACTTTTCCAACGTTTGAATTGTAATTTTCGATGAGTTATGAGGTGAGGCTTTACTTATACTTTTTTTTTTTCTTTTCTTTATTGTTTTTAGTGAATTTATCGGGTCTTTCTTGTTTGCATCATCACATGGTTGGGAACATTCGTTTGATGCGGCACATTAAGGCAGGGAACAATTGTGGAATGACTGTGAAGTATTTGGATCGAATAACTGTGGTCTCCGGATCGAAAAACTACTTTTGGTGACAATTTTGCACCACGATCAGAAAACACTCGGACCTGGCTGAGTCGAATCAGATCTATTACTTGCCCAGGTCGAGTCTCGCCGATACTCGAGAGAGTTGGCCGGGTTTTTGCTAAAACCATCATTTTAGCAGGTTTTTTTTTTGTTTATCAATAATCGGATATGCTCTGTATTAAACCACCTCCACTGATTGATTGATGAATAAATCGATCCAAAATCGATCAAAATCAAGCTCAGACTTGATTTTCCTTTTCTCGTGCTTTTAATACAAAAATTATTCCTTTCATAAATCCTAATATACAAACCCGCATTCTCTTTCTCAAATCTCAACCAAAACATCCAGTGATCTATGAAAGCCTTATTCCAATTTGTTCAATTAAATCAGAATTTGAAGAAATCAAGGTCCAAATATTCGAGTTAACGTTAGAGTCGAGACCCGCCATGTTTTTTGAATTTAAATAAGAAATGTTCTAGGGATTTTGATCTAAAAGGGGTTAGGATCTATCGAAACGTAGGGTTTACATAAATTTTGAATAATATTTTAATTTTTTGAACTCTATTTAAAGGGTTTTTTTTTAATTTTTCTTGAAATTTAGTTTAAGTTTGTTGTTAATTTTATTTTATTTTTGTTAAGGTTGTTTTATGGTAGGGTTTAAATGACTTTTGACTAATACAACTTTTTGATGGTTGGTTTTGTGTGGCCCAATCCTGACTTTCGGTGGAGTTTATTGAATGTTTATAGTCCTCAAGGTTTGGCTCTAAAAGAAATCATTATTAATGATATGTCAAACTTCATTAATAATTTTATTCACCCGATTTGTTTGGGATGAGAGTAGTTATGATGGACCTATTACGTCTGTTATGCGTCTGTTTAATAGATTTATTGAGTCTCATGCCTTATTAGATTTGTCAATTTCAAGCACAATTTTTACATGGACAAATGACAGCTCTTTAAATTTATCCATGTCTAAACTTGACAGATTTTTGGTTTCTAGGGAGTGATCTGAATTCTTCCCCCTTACTTCGGTCAAGGCATTACCTAGACTCTCCTTTGATCATACTCACATTTTACTGTGTTCTAAAGTTCTTCCTGTAGGACCTAAACCATTTTGGTTTGAAGCTGGTGGCTTATTGAGAAGGAGGTGGTTGACCTTATCAAAAGTGCTTGGGAGAATACTATTTCCATTGGCTCTTTGGATTGTCAACTCCACAAGAAGCTTTTAAGTGTCAAGCATAAGCTTATTGCTTGGAAAAATGATTGGAGATTTAATGTGAAATGGAGAATTGATGAAATTCTTGCTTAGCAGAAGTGGATTCTATTGTTCCAAATTCAGGAGTTCTGTTTGAGGAGATGGTTTTGGAGAGGATCTCTAAATCAAATGAGTTATACGAGCTTAGAAGGATAGAAGAGGTGTATTGGAAGTAAAGGTCCAAGGTCAAATGGCTGAAGGAAGGAGATTTAAACACAAAATTCTTTTATAACCATTGCAAATGCCCAAATACGTCAGAATGACATCCTTGGGCTTTTGATTCATGGACTTGATCTTGATGATGACACTGGGATGTCTAATGCAGTCATAGGTCATTTCAAAAAAACTTCACCACTAAGGTGAAGGTTACACCTTGGTTAACCAGAGTGGGCTTTAAATGTCTTCCGTCTATTTTGATAGATTTTCTTGTGAGATATGCTTTTGTGAAAGAATTGAAAAAAGTTGTCTTTTCCCTACCAAGTGATAAGGCACCTGGCCCTGATGGTTTTCCACTCTTCTTTTTCCACAAATTCTGGAGTTTGGTTTGTCATGAGTTGCTGGAGATGGTCTGTGGTTTCTTGCGGAGAGGTGAGCTTTTTAGAGGGGTTAATTCCACTTTTATAGCCATTATTACCAAAAAGTTTGTCATTGCGAACCTTGGTGATATTCGGCCCATTAGCCTTCTCTTGAGTCTCTATAAAATTATCGCTAAGGTGCTTGCAGAAAGACTTAAAGTGGTCTTACTGGATATTATCACAAGACCCTAGTTTGCTTTCATCAAGGATATATTGATAACTGATAGTGTTTTGGTTGCACAAGAGTGCATTCACTCTAGAATTTTGAGTGGTAGTGCTGGGACTGTGATTAAATTGAACATGGAAAAAGCCTATGACAAGGTTGAATGGCTTGTTCTTTTAGAAATTATGAAAAATATCGGCTTTGGTGAGAAGTGGAGGAATTGGATTTATTTTTCTGTTTGTTCAAATGAAGCCCGACTGGGTTTTTTGGAGCCTCGCGGGGGCTTCGTCAAGGGAATCCCTTGTCCCCTTTTCTGTTCACCATTTATGTGGAGTGCTTCAGCCGTTTTGTTGAATTTAAAGGGCATTTTGTGGGCTTTCATATGTCTAATGATGGTCCTTGCATTTCACATTTACAATATGCATATGATACTTTGCTTTTCTGTGAGGCTAACTGTGACCAGATTAAAAATATTGCTACTTCTTGAATTATTGCGAAGTGGTTTTGGGCCTTAAGGTCAATTTCGAGAAATCTGTAGTGATTAGTATTAATTGTAATGATTCTTTAATCCTTGAGATTGCTGAGACACTGGGATGTAAGGTGGAAGTTTTTCCAATTTCAGATGGACGCCTACCTCTAGCTGTTTGGGATAAAGTGTTTCAAAGGATACAAGTTAAGCTTGATTTGTAGAAGTATAGTTAAGCTTGATTTGTGGAAGTATAAATACCTCTTGCTTGGAGGCAGGATTACCTTGGTAAAAGCATGTTTGTCAAACTTACCAATTTATCAGATGTCGTTGTTGCAGATTCCTTCTCGAGTTGCCAAGAAAATTGAATCTTTAATGAGGAATTTTCTCTAGGGTTCTTCTGAAAATTAAAAAAAGTATCATCTTCTTCGTTGGGATAGGATGTGCACGCCTAGGAAGAAAGGCGGATTGGCAATAAGAAAAATTAGAATTGTAAACCAGGCCTTAATCTGTAAATGGTGGAGGAGAAGCTTAAACTTCAAAGATTAGTTGTGGTATCAAGTTATTTCTGCCAAGTATGGAGAGGATAGACATAAAATATGGGTTGGATTGAGAAATGGTACAAAGGGGATGTCCTATTGTTGGAGATCCATTAACTCATGTAAATCTTTTATATATAGGTACATTCGATGGAGTTTGGGAGATGGACGTAATATCTCATTTTGGCATCATAAGTGGTTAGGCTCTTCACCTTTGAAATACTTTTTCCCATTAGTTTTTCAGTGTATGGATAATCCCAATGTTGTTATTACTGATATTTTTGAAATTAGGAGCAATCAGATTGTATGGAATATTATTCTCCCCTATAATAGAATTTCGGAACAGATTTTTCGAAGTACGTTGGTCTGTTAATACTAGTTCAGGAAGTTTATATTCCGTAGAATGCATCTGATGAGGTTGTTTGGGAGATTGATTCAAATGGTTTATACTCTGTGAAGTCGATGTATAAGTTACTTTTCTATGACCATTGGAGATGGTCTATGCCTAAAATTGCCATTATTTGGAAATGACATTTGCCGCTTACGATTCAAGTATTTTTATGGTTGGCAATGCAAGATAAGATTCTCATGGTTGATAATCTTATTAAGAGACGTAAGATTTTGCCTAATATATGCCTATTGTGTAACAATAATGCTGAAACAATTGCTCATCTGTTTCTCTATTGTTCTTTTACTTTTAAAATTTAGTGATGGTGTTTTGACCAACTTAGGATTGTTATGGTTATGCCTTCGGAAGTTAAGGGGATCATTTTAAACTTAGTGTATCTATGCTTCCACAAACAGGAGTGGTGATTTGGCAAATTGCAAGAGGATTGATACTATAGGAAGTTTGGAAGGAAAGAAACAAACTAGTGTTTGATGGAATTTGTATGCCTATTGAGAGAATTTTGGAGAAAATTTTACAAAAGTTGAAAAAAATATTCTAGAAGTGGATGTTAGGAGTAACTTATCGAATCTTTTCCAATTGGGCTCTTTTAAGTGCATGCTTAAGGGGAGATGGGTACCTCCTTTGAAAGGGATATTTAAACTTAATTTCGATGGTAGTTCGTTAGGAAGCCCGGATCTAGCTAGTTTTGGAGGAGTGGTGACGGATTGGAATGTATATGTTGTCTTTTCTTATGCAAGCTCTCTGGGAGAGAAAACTGCAAACTGTGCAGAACTCTTGGCTCTCTTTAATGGTTTAAAACTTTTTGTTAGGGTCTTATTGTATTGTGGAAGGTGATTCAATGAATGTCATCAAGTGATGGATAGGGAACA